AAAAATTAATAAAATAAAAATATAAAATAAAATAAAATAGTAAAATAAAATAAAATAATAAAATAAAATAAAATAAATAAAATAACAAAATAAAATAAAATAATAAAATAAAATAAAAAAAATAAAATAAAATAATAAAATAAAATAAAAAATAAAATAAAATAATAAAATAAAAAATAAAATAAAATAAAATAAAAATTAATAAAATAAAAATATAAAATAAAATAAAATAGTAAAATAAAATAAAATAATAAAATAAAATAAAATAAAATAACAAAATAAAATAAAATATAAAATAAAATAAAATAAAATAATAAAATAAAATAAAACAAATTAAATAATAAAATAAAATATAAAATAAAATAAAATATAAAATAAAATAAAATAAAATAATAAAATAAAATAATAATAAAATAAAATAATAAAATAAAATAAAATAATAAAATAAAATAATAAAATAATAAAATAATAAAATAATAAAATAAAATCTTGCAGGAACCAGGAAGTGTGTGTCTTCCGTTGTGCTGCCTGTTCCTTGGAATCTCACTCTCACCACAGATGAGTTTGACCCCCACCGTGCCAGACTTTCTCAAGACTCTTAAATGTGGTTGTGTTCTGGGACATGGGGGGGAGGGGGACAATATCAGTTAAAACCCTTGAGATGGTTATTTTAATCCTTGTTTGATTTGTACCTTGGCTGTTGTGTGCGTTTGCGTTGCTGTTTGTCTTGTGGTGAGCAACTGATAGAAGCCAGCATTCACTGAGATGAACGGCTGTGTAAATTGAACAAACAGAATAGCAACTTTTATGGATATTTACTCCTCTGTAGTCTTACAATATAATGCATCATTTATTTCCTTATATTTTAGATATATTTTAGGTAACTACTGATAAATTCAATTTTATACTACTGCTAATGAACAAGCCAGAAAGAATAAATTTCCAAGGATGCCCAGACTCTGATAGATTGATTTAATGTTGCAAACTTAAGGAAGCCTTAATGAAGAATTCCAGAAAAAGCTATAAAATGAAAATCAATGGTGAAAAAATGAAATTTAATGGTGAAAAAAAGGAAATTCAGTGGTGAAAAAAGTAAGATTCTACATTTAGGCAAGAAAAACCAAATGGACAGGTGTAGTATAGGTGGTACCTTGCTCAATAGTAGTAACTTTGAGAGGGATAATACCACTTTACAAGGCCTTGGTAAGGCCACACTTGGAATCCTGCATCCAGTTTTGGTTACCACAGTGTAAAAAATATGTTGAGACTCTAGAAAGAGTGCAGAGAAGAGCAACAAAGATGATCAGGGGACTGGAGGCTAAAACATACAAAGAACGGTTGATGGAATTGGGTATGTCTAGTTTAAGGAAGAGAAGGACGAGGGGGGACAGGATAGCAGCCTTCCAGTATCTCAGGGGCTGCCCCAAAGAAGAGGGAGTCAAGCTATTCTCCAACGCGCCTGAAGGCAGGACAAGAAGCAATGGATGGAAACTCATCAAGGAGAGAAGCAACCTGGAATTAAGGAGAAATTTCCTGACAGTGAGAACAATTAACCAGTGGAACAGCTTGCCTCCAGAGGTTGTGGGTGCTCCATCACTGGAGGCTTTTAAGAAGAGACTGGACAGCCACTTGTCTTAAATCAGGGGTCTTCAAACTTGGCCCTTTTATGACTTGTAGACTTCAACTCCCAGAAGTTGAAGTTGTTGTAATGTACTAATCAGTATTCAACTGGGGGGGGGGGGATAATATTAGAATAGAATAGAGCTGGAAGGGCCCATGGAGGTCTTCTAGTCCAGCCCCCTGCTTAAGCAGGAGAACCTATACCATTTCAGACAAGTGATTGCCCAGTCACTTCTTAATATGTATATATGTTTTGGCTTTTTTTTTTCCTTTTTAATGCACATTTTTAATGTTTTGCTTCGTTGTGTTTTTCCCTTTGGTTTTTTTTCCTTTGTTTGTTTTTATTTTAAAGTTGGAGTTTTGTATTTTAACTTTTTTTCCGAATCAAATAGAAATAGTACATCCTGGGAATCATCCAGTTCGTCATTTCTGGGGTGCTTGGAGCTGAAAATCCTTCCAGTGGGAATTTTGGGGTGTCATGGCCCCACGGTTGCGATCGGCAATTGGAGCAGCAGAATTTTGCTTGGCATTGCCAATCTTTTTCAGTTCCTCGTCGCCAACGGACGAGATCCGCCTTGCCCGGTCCTGCTTCTCCTAGCCCATCGTGGGAATCTCCTTGCATTTTCCCAAAAGTTTTGGGAAAGTTTCATTTGAGACAGCTGGGCAAGCAGGAAAAAGTCTCCTTCACCCGTATCAGAAGGGAATCCATCTGTTTGGCCCTGGGCCCCAGGCCTGCCCACGTCTGTTCGGGGCTGGGCAGCTCCTGTTTTCGGCCGGATGTCAGAAGTCCTCGGACAGCTTCGTGGTCATTGAAAGGGGTCCCTCGGTGGCATTGCTGAAGCTTCCGGCGGATCTGGCAAGGAGACACAAGGCAACAGATGAGAGTTGGGGAAAATCCTGGCTAGAGGGTGGAACCGGGACTTTCCGATTTCTGTTTATAGAGTGCAAATTCCAAATCTGGCTTTAAGCAGCCCTTCCCAACACGTTTCTACCTCTGATTGCAGAGAACGGGACAGGCCTCGTTGGAGATTAGAGGTGGACTTCAACTCCCAGAATTCCCCAGCCAGCAGGCTTTAAGATGGGTGGATTTCAACTCCCAGAATTCCCTAGCCAACGTAATTTAAGATGGGTGGTCTTCAACTCCCAGAATTCCCCAGCCAGTGTGATTTAAGGTGGGTGGACTTCAACTCCCAGAATTCCCCAGCCAGCGTGATTTAAGGTGGGTGGACTTCAACTCCCAGAATCCCCCAGCCAGCGTGCTTTAAATGGGGTGGACTTCAATTCCCAGGCACTGGAAAAAGTGATTTAGGATCCTCGTGCGAACTCCTTTTGCGATCTTCTGACAAGCTGGATTCACTTAACAACCGTGTTAATACCTTATCGACTGCAGCGATTCGCTGAACGACGATGGTGGGAAAAGTTGTAAAATGGAGCGAAACCCGCTCCACCAATGTCTCGCTTAGCAACGGAAATTTTGGGCTCAATTGTGGGGGTTAATTCGAAACTACCTGTAACTCACACTTACGACCGTTGCAGCATCCTCCACAGTCACATGATCAAAATTTGGACGTGTGGCAACTGACTCGTATTTATGACGGTGGCAGTGTCCTGGGGGGGTGTCACTTGATCCCCTTTTTACAACCTTCCGACCGGCAATGGTCAACGGGGGAAGCCGGATTCACTTAACAACTGCATGATTCGCTTAACAACGGCATGATTTGCTTAACAACTGCATGATTCACAACCCACCGCACAAATGGCAAAACGGAGTGATTCACTTTACAGGGGCATTGCTTAGCGACGGATGATCCCGTTGCCGTTGTCGCAAGTTGAGGACTGCCTGCGCCGTCGCAAGGCCGCAGATGGACCGTCTTATTCCTCACCTTCTGCACGGACCGGCTACGTCCGAACTCCTCCAGCTGCTGACGAAAACCCAGGTTGGGATTGGCCACGGGCCTCACGGCCTTGACCGCTTCGAGTGCCTCGAGCCAGCCCAGCGGTGTCACCGCCATGAGATAGGCCAGGATGATGGTGGTGCTGCGGGAGATCCCAGCTAGGCTGGAAGGGGTGATGAAGAACAGGATTAGAAACCAGAACCCTCTGGGCCACTCTCCCTCAGCTTCCATGCACCCCAAAAGTCTATTGGTGGTCAGGAATATTTGCTAGGGTGTTCCCGCTTTCCATTGGTTGATGTTGGCTTTGTGTCATGTGTCAACTTGGTTATGTTGGTTTGTAAATCACGGTTTATGGGTTAGTGGAAAGAATGAACCCAGCCATGGGGATCACGGTTTTAATATTAAGCGTGAACATGGCTACTTTATTTCGTAAATCATGGCTTATATCAGGAGTAAGCAACCTTGGCTCTTTTATGACTCGTGGACTTCAACTCCCAGAATTCCTCAGCCAGCCATGCTGAGGGAAAAGGGAGAGGTTTCCAAGCTGAGCCATGCTGGCTCAGGAATTCTGGGAGTTGAAGTCCACGAGTCATAAAAGGGCCAAGTTTGAAGACCCCTGGTTTAAATATTTAAATATTTTTCCTCACGGTCACGTGATCAAAATTCAGGCATTTGGCCTTTTACCTTAGTAGCCAGTGTGTGAACACAGCATTCTGGATTATGGTTAGTGTCAAGTGTGTATATGGCCACCTTGGCTTACACATCATGGTTTATAGCTTAGCATAAAGTCTAAACCCACCCACCTAGATTATGGTTTAGTGATGACATGCACTTTGGTATGTAAATCATTCTTAGTACAAAGAATTAGGCCAACCATCTTGGTTTGTAAATCATGGCTTATTGGTTAATGTGCACCCAACAGTATGGATTATGGATTATGACCTATTATTAAGTGTGAACA